CAACAGCCAAAGGGTACAACGTGTATGCGAAAGCAAAACGACTTGAGCTTGCACAGTGAAAAAGAGCTCATTTAGTGCCTATGAATTATGAAACTGCAACAATGAGTAAAATTTGCACACAGCGCGCATTTCATAGAGATCAACAGATACGAATGGTATAATTGCCAAATATAGGTTTTGGAATGTCTCAAACTAATAGTATTTTGCTTGAAGCAATAGACTTCAAATATTCGTACAAATCTAACCAAAGTCCACACGCGCCCAACTTTCTCTCTATTTTGCGCACATTAATAATACATGTTTCTCGTAAAAGCTGTGAAATAATGTGAAAGTGGAAACGATTCTTACTTTTGTTTTCTACTTTTAATGCGGCGGCATTTTTCTGCAACTCCTCCTCGTGCACGGTATCAGCGAGTAATGCTTTCGACAGTTTCTTTGTTGCAAATATTTGTCGGTCATCGCGATCCGAGAAAGTGCCGCTACTGCCGGCGCCAACTGTTGTGCTCGTACCGCTAACTTTATCAATTGGCGAACGACTGCGTGAACGATTCTTACTGGTTGGTGATATGTGTGACTTGCGTTTTAGTTCCTTCTTCCTTGACGACGTTGACTCGTTGCCGGATAATGATGTGGTTGAGGATTTACGCTTGAATGTAGTAGAAAGTGGCGCAATCTCAAAAGCGTCTTTATCACATTTATTACTCGTTGCTTTTTTACTGTTGCGACTACTTGTAGTTCCAGTTGCAGAACTGGATGTGGAGCCTTTTTGCCGCTCCGAGGAACACGAACTACCGGATGATGTGGAACTCTTTGATTCGCTACGTTTACGATCTTTATCCTTATCCTTATCACGTGATGAGCTACCTTTACGTCGACTTTCCGCACCCGTAATGCCACCCGAATCACTGCGACTGCTTTTGTTGCTGCTGCCACCATTGCGATACGAAGCCGACGTTGAAGATGACTTATTGTCAGATTTATGTATATCATCGGGGCCACGCAATGATGATGACATGGTGGACTTTGTTGAGTTACGCATTGATGGCGTCGCATCTTGCATTTGTTGTTGACGTGCCAAACGCGGATCACGGTGTCTTATTGTGTTTAATAATGCTGGATTAACAGGATGCACTTTTGGTTTGTTGCCAGCATTTGTAGGCGGAAAATTCTACACACAAATGGATTGAGGATTATCATATGAAAATACATAAAATACAAACACATGTTTGTAGGTTTTTTTTTTACCTGAGGCGGCATAGACATCATACCAACTGGTACATGCTGTGGTTGTTGTTGTGGCCTGGTTTGATTGAAATTCGTATGGAAAAGTGCTGTTGGTGGCACCGCACCGCCGCCCACAATCACCGGATGTGTTGCCCGTGGGTGCATGTGGTGTTGAGACATCAAACCGGGCGCCATTATGCCAGTTGGCATTATTGGCGCTGACACACCAGGCATGCGTGTGCCGCCCATTGTAGTGCCCGGCTCGGTTGGCATGAGGCCGTTTGTTACTTTTGACAGTTGTTTATCTTGTTCTTCTAAACTCTTTTTGGTCGCTTCAAGTTCTAATTCGAGTTTACGCTTTTTCAATTCCAACAATTCGCGTGTTTTGGCTTGTAATATCTCCTCAACATCACCGGCTTGCACTTTGAGATCGTAATTCTAGAGATATTAACATGTAGAAAATAGAAAATTTCGCTTAGACAATATTATTTAATACCACATAAATTTTCTATACTTACGGGTTTGAGAAAATTTGGATTTACATGTATAGATGGTGGTACTTGCTTTGCTGTAATTGGCCAATTATTGTCAATCCGCTTCACTTTTACATCCAATGCGTAAAGTTTTTGTGATGGGAAAACCTCATTCCACGTTAACCGTAATGCATACATGCGTTCACGAATTTTTTCATTAACCTTTGTAATACAAAAATAAAGCGAAATTTTTAAAATTTCAATATTGTTTCCGAGTATTAAAATGCTGTTGACAACTAAAATCTTGGTTACAAAATTGATAATAATAAACCGTGTACTAAAATTATGACTTTATTTTATACAAATTAGGAAATGTTATTTTTCAAACTTGGCGATATTCGGTGTTATTAAGTTAGTTGTCAACAGCCGTAAAACTCTCCAGCAGTAAATGCTTACCTTTTCGAATACATCGCAAAATATGTTCACAATACATTGACTGAAGAGATGAATATATGTGCTTTTAACATTTTTTACGATAGAATCTATTAAATATAGCAAAGGCAACTTTATATCTGGCGGCACCTGTAGAATTGGAACAGTGGGAATAAACGAAAAAAACATTTTAAAAACTGCAATTAATTGACACCTATTGATTAAGCTGCCAACCGACAAACAGCGCCAGCAGTGCGCCGAGGGATGTCAAAGAGTTAAATTCAAAATATTACTGTAAAACCCCTTGCAATCATAAAGTTCCTTTTACACTCTATAATTAACGCAGATCTAAATCAATCAAGTTATTGCCATAAACCTATCATTAGATACTATAACGTTAACAAAAAGTAAAAAAAGAAAAAAAATAAGTTGATTTTTTTTTTAATTTAAAAACTAAATGCAATGAAAAAACTGACCATAAAAAGTTTTGACCTATAACATATCGTCAATAGCACATCTTTAACATATTCGTGACGTCCTGGTAGACTGCGCCATTTTAACAAATCGTATACGTTTATGTACAAATTTATGGATATATTTAGCTACAACAAACAGTATCACGAAATAAAAGACATTCAAAAATAACTGATCTTTGTAAAGGAATTTTATTAAATTTAGTTTATATGTTAGTTGTTTAAAATGATTTTTTTATGTTGATATTGCATATTATCAGTTTTTTAGCCACATCCGGTGGATTTAACGAAGCGCTGAAGCTGTAATTAATTTAAAACTTTCTTGGAAATATTTCCCAGAAATACGCATGCAAAATGAAACTTTTATTACAAACTAGCTTAAATAAATCTTCACATTTTGTAGTATTGTAAATTTCCATACACGTTTAATCCTGGAACACTAGAGTATTAACTTGGTATAAATTTAAATGTGATTATCTATCGAAAAAAAATCTATTGTATTAATATCTAATATTTGTAAAGCGTTTTAAAATCTTTGGTATTTGATTGAATACAAAATCGGGTAGATTCGATAGTTATAATTGCAATTTATAAATAAACAGCCAGATATATATTACGCACTGAAACGTTATACGTTTTAATATTTAAAAAAAAAAAATGAATTGATGAAATTATTGTGCTACTATCACTTAATGCCATATTCAGAAGACCATAATAAACTAAACGTCTCTAGTCTGCAATTATATGACAGTTTGTTACACTTCTAGCACTTAGTATATTTAAATTTTTTTACAAATAAGAGTCTATTATTCTTTCACTCTTATATACTGCACATTTTTAATGCCACGATTTTGCCTTACGAACGTTGAAATCGAAAACACAGATTGCTAAAATTTATTATACACAATATTTATTATTTAAGGGTAATGGTAATGGTAAACTTTGAAGTTTTTGGATAAACATCATTCGGTCGAAAATGAAGTTTCCAAGCATTTCTACGCCGTGAGCGCCTTGTAAGTATTTCAGTTTGTTTACTTTATAAACACACTGGCTAAAATACCTATAGTTGCCTGTTAAACAATATTTCATATGTTTTAACAAGTTGTGAATTGTTATAAAGGCGGGGAATCCACGATATACCATGGTATAGCTTTTTAACCTATTTCAAATTCATTAAAAAAATTGTTAACCTTAGCGATGTGTTGCTCCACCACTTTCACTATAACTGATGCGCATCCAATATTTTCCTCTGCTAACATTGTTAGCATGTTTATTAAGGGTTTACTGTTGCAAGTAAGATCAGACAAGCTGGAGAGATATTCCTCTGCCACACGTGCTTCATTTTCATCTTTAGTTTTCACAGATATTTCCATTTTAAGTGAATCCCTGAAAATTAAGGATATCAATTATTTTTCATGTTTTACACTCTTCAAGACACTAACATTCATTTTGTGCGCGCTAGTACATACACACACTTTCAAAGTAATTTTGAAATTTAAAAGTAAATTTAAAATAAAATATATAATATACGCGAGCAATAATATAAATACGAAAGTCAGAATTTAATGCAAATTGTTGTCCTAAACTAAAGCAAACATATTTAAATGTTCGTATTAGCTAATTTGTCTAAAAATATATGCACTTGTTAGAACCTAATATAATAGAAAGCTTTTCGTTTATATTGATTTTTAAATGCCAATATAAGTTATTTATTATTCAACGTCAATATCCATATTCACTCCTCACAACCGATTCGTTTAATATACGTAAACACACGATTTGCAAACGTTTGCTACAAAATTTACGCCATGATGACGATCAATGTACATATTCGCTAACTACATGTATATATAAATTAATATATGCATGTATGCCTAATATCCATATCCATACATATGAATATACTTTTGTTAACATTACCAAATATATATACAAAGAAATCTACTTTTCACTTTTTTCAATTAAAGTATGGCACTTATTTCGATATATTTTCATGAGAAACAAATATAATTTCCATATTTTGTAAAGAAAAAAATATGTATGTGATTGTGTACAGAACAGGAATATCTGCGTTAAAATTTGGCTTATTTAAGAGACATGTACCAAAACTTACCTTCAATTTTACTTGAAGTCACTTAATTATATAATTAGCACTATTTAATTGCTTTAAATTTTCTTTTAATTGTATTCTAAATCACTTATTTTCACGTAACACTAAAATGCGACGTTGTCTACTTCACTTCACCGATTTTTAGGAAAATTTACTTTGCCAATATGGCGACCGATTGTCGCTGAATTTGCTGACAAAGTGCTGAATGCGACCTTGCCACATCTTTTATATGCTTTCAAAATTCATGAGAACTGCAGTAATTTACTCTTCTTCAAAGATAAATATTCTTTTTGTCCGTTCCTTTTTGATTTTTGATTTTTTTTGCTTATTTCAGAAGGCTCTCTGAACATAATCAGTAACAATTTTCATCAAAATTTATAGTCTCAAAGAAACTGTCTGAAGACTGTAATACCTTGCCTATATACTTCATCAAGAAGAAGCATTTTGTAAGCAATTTTGACATTTGCATAAGTTGTGCCAAAAAATGTGTTGTGTAGTGATATAGAACCTTTTTAATATATTCTTGTAAAAATATCCATATATTGTAATACAAAAAGAAGCACAAATGTCTGTACTCAACCAGGATCCTTTGTCAGCTTCACAAGCTGACCAAAAGACTACAACCGAAAATGATTTTTACGGTAGAGCACAAAAATATTGGTCCGAAGTTCCTGCTACGGTGAACGGCATGCTTGGTGGTTTAGGATATCTTAATAGAATTGATATCCAAGGTTCGAGTAGTTTTTTAAGAGACCTGAAGGATTTGGGTAAAAACAACGCTCTCGATTGTGGTGCGGGTATTGGACGTATTACAAAAAATTTGCTTATGTCGCGTTTTAATACAACCGACATTGTTGAGCAGGATGCCAGTTTCACAGAAAAAGCACACGAATATTGCACAGAAGGTAATGAGCACAACGGTCGCTTAGGTGAAATATACACCTTGGGTCTTCAAGAATTTACTCCAACTGCGGCTAAATATGATGTGATATGGTGTCAATGGGTTCTGGGCCATCTCACCGAAAGTGACCTTTTCAATTTTTTTCGTCGTATGCGTGTTGGTCTAACAAGCAAAGGATATTTAATAATTAAAGAGAATGTTACATCGTCTAATATAGTTGAAGAGGATAAGCAAGACTCTTCAGTAACCCGTCCACTGAAAACATACGAGATTGCATTAAAAGGTGCGGGATTTCGAATTGTAAAAACTTGGCGACAGCAGAGCTTTCCCAAAGGATTATACCCGGTTTACATGTTGGCATGCCGACCCACAGAATAAAAAGTGGTTCCAATGTTAAAATTGTAGAAATAGTAATTAAACTGAACTTAATGCAATGTTCAAATCAAAAATTTTAGTTTACGAACGCAAACCTCATACAGGTTCTAAATGAAATTGTTAGTATAAAGCTGTATTATACATAGTTTGTAAATAAAAAATAAATGTACAAAAACATTAAACTTATACTCTATCGGATTAGTTTAAATAACTAAAACCGACAACTTTTTTATACTGTCCTATAAAATAACGTTTCGTTCCATAATTATCGTAAACCGTCAACTTCTTAATTAAATATGCTATTGTGAATTTTTCTCAATATTTGCGTAAATGGCAAAACTGAAGAAGAAGCATTTACACTGTTTCTTTTTGCTACGTGTAGCGCATAGGTGTTGCGGATTATAAATTTATTTGGCTTTAAAGAACAGTTGCGAACACAAATTGAAAATTTAATAAACATGAATTCACCTCCGGTATTTATTGACTTGTCATTGGATGAGCAGGTAAATAGAAAAATTCCTTAAATCATAATTAAGAAGCTTTGATGTGAAACATCCTAGCTTTGAGGTTATGTTTTTCTGTATATAATGCAGCGAGGTACTATAGGATATGCACTGACTTTGTAGGTGCAAGAGCTGAGAAAATTCTTTAAAAAGCTGGGAGCCGAGATTTCATCCGAAAAGTCTAACAAAGGTGTGGAAGATGATTTACATAAAATCATTGGTGTTTGCGATGTTTGCTTCAAAGATGGTGAACCCTCGCAAATTGATGGCATCCTTAATAGTATTGTTTCCATTATGATTACAGTAAGTCTTTACTTAGTATTAAACTCGCAATGTTAGTATTAATTTTTTATTCTTAATAGATCCCACTCGATCGCGGCGAAAACATTGTCTTGGCTTACTGTGAAAAAATGACGAAAGCTCCCAATGTGCCATTGGCAAAAGTTTGCTTAGAGTCTTTGTGGCGTTTGTTTAACAACTTGGATACATCATCACCTTTGCGCTATCATGTTTACTATCATCTTGTTCAAGTGGCCAAACAAAGTGACCAAGTGTTGGAAGTTTTCACCGGTGTTGATCAACTAAAATCACAATTTGCCAATTGCCCACCATCTAGTGAGCAAATGCAAAAACTATACCGCTTGTTACACGATGTGACTAAGGATACTAACTTGGAGTTGTCAGCTAAAGTCATGATTGAATTGCTGGGCACTTACACAGCAGATAATGCCTGTGTTGCTCGTGAAGATGCAATGAAATGCATCGTGACAGCACTTGCTGATCCCAACACATTTCTGTTGGATCCATTGTTAGCCCTTAAACCGGTGCGCTTTTTGGAAGGCGATTTGATACATGACTTATTGTCAATTTTTGTATCAGACAAATTGCCATCGTATATACAATTCTATGAAGATCATAAGGAATTCGTTAATTCTCAAGGCTTAAATCATGAGCAGAATATGAAAAAAATGCGTTTATTGACTTTCATGCAATTGGCAGAAAGCAATCCGGAAATGACATTTGAAACACTCACAAAGGAATTACAAATAACAGAAGATGAAGTAGAACCATTCGTTATAGAAGTGCTGAAAACAAAATTAGTGCGTGCACGTCTCGACCAGGCCAATCGCAAAGTGCACATCTCATCAACAATGCATCGTACTTTTGGCGCTACTCAGTGGCAACAGTTACGCGACCTTTTATACGCTTGGAAAGAGAATTTGAGTTCGGTGCGTGAAGGTTTAGCTAGTGTTTCAGCTGCACAAATCGATTTAGCGCGCAGTCAAAAATTAATACATTAACTGAGTTCAACATTTTTTTTAAAGCCACAGACAACAACATTTTGGTCTTTTGTATTTATAAATGATTTAAATAAATTTAATTCGAAGTAAGGAAATCCAAACCGTAATATGTTTCCATTCTACAAATATTAGCAATGGAGGGTGAAAAGTAGATAGCTTAAATGCTGCACAATTCTAATTCATAGTAAATTAATTTGTATATTTACTTCAAAATTTCTTTCAACACTATTCAGGCAACCCGTTAAATATATACATAAATTATAACTGGTACATATCATTAAAAATCAGTGAAACTACAATCACTTGAATTGCATTATAAATTTATATATTATAAAACATTTTGAATTCATACATTAATGTATATGTGTATATATATATATATATATTTAATTGATTTTTAGTCTACTACTTAAATACAAATATGTATTCCTTTTGGAAAGTATTGCTTGCAGGAAATTATTCACCGGTGATGAATGACGTCACTTTGCAGTACGCATGTACCCAAATATTTGTAATTCTTATCTAAATACATCTAATTGTGTATGCACATAGGTGTGAAACTTGGAAGCTATGATTTCTCTAAAAAGGGTTTTAATCGTTCAACGATTGTAGACACTTCTGCCATTGCCCCATTGCCCGTGTCACCGCACATCAACATCTTTGATATACAAGGTATTTCGGTGTATCCCCAAGACTTAAGTTTGCTTATTTGTTCGTATGTCAGAGGGTGGTCGTACATACGAGTATTCATTGCTGGACAGAAGAGTAACGGCTTGTGGAGGTCCCAGGCGCGTACCACACAAGTAAGTAAGTTGTCGCATATACCCTAATAAATTATAATAATACATGTTATCTAATTTCGTAAACAATGAGAGCTATAAACAATCGTACGTACCGTTGCTATTTTAGCCAATGTGTTTGCGCTGAGCGGTGCGATTAGTAAGAGATCTGCCCATTTGCCCAAATCAATATGTAATACAGGATCACCTCTTTTTTGCCACATTGACCACTCGGCGACATCAATCAATATTTTCACCTTTGCAGGCAAAAGCGTACTCTCGAAAAAATGTCTAGCGTGCTCTGTGGGGACAATTTTTATCTGCGAATTGTGCATGTATTGCAATCAATAAAATTTTAATTAATTCTCAATTGCGCATTTACTCACATTTATGGTATAGTCTTTCTCGTATTCTTGTATTTTTTCAATTAGCAATGGCAGTTTGATAGTCGCCACACTTCCTGTGACACCGATTAGTATGTTCTTTTGAGGTCTCATCATAGCTTCTATTTGGTTGCTTCGAATATTTATTAAATCTTATTTTGATATTTATTGAGTTTTATTTGGTTTATTGCAATTAGTTTCTGTTATTGTCCTTGGTTTTTGTTTTACTCTCGTCTTCAAAGCCCAGCTTGGACCACTGGGTTTGCTCCATCAAATTGTTTTGCATGCGACAACCTAAGTATTCTTTAGCTTCTTGGCGACACTTGGAGTTGTTATCGTTGTTTCGACGCAAACAGCTCATGTACAGCAGATAGTATTTTTTACAAATGCTTTCGTGATCAAGTGGAAAACTGCCCTTCTCCGGTGGTGTTGGTATGAATGACTTCTGATTAAGCGTATTCGAATTCATTTGACAAATTGATGGTAATATAGCTACCTGGGAACGGGTTTACAAGTTACCTTTGCACGATTACACAAATTTCACGTGAAGCAAAATAAACTGCAGAGACATCTGTTGGGAACATTTTCATGTAAAAGAGAAAAAATAAAAAAAAGCTATTTATGAAAAAAGGGAAATATTGAAATTTTTTATTTCTTATTTTTAAAAATTAATTACATTATTTCAGAATAAAAAAGATTAATAAATAAACTTTAATTATATGTGTAAACTCACAGTCTATGACAAAGTTTTGAGCTAACTTTACAACACTGTCACATTTCTTGTTTACTTTTCAAATTGTACACTTACCAGCACTAAACTAGTTTTTGTTTATTGCTTTACTCAATTTGTTTGTACATTTTTGCAATTGATTGAAAAAGAAGCCGGTAAAATGCTAGTGTTACCGAGAATAATTTTATTTTGCACATTGCTATTCTCTAGCAATGCTTACGAAATTGATGACAATGGCTATTTAGCTTATTGTCCTTGCATGGGTTCGTATAAATATATATTATGTATGATTTAATTCATATTGTTTTGGTAAATATGTTTATATTCTTTACTGTCCTTAGGTCGATTTGGTAACCAAGCCGATCATTTTTTAGGAGCATTAGCTTTCTCCAAAGCGCTTAATCGTACACTAATTTTGCCACCATGGGTTGAATATAAGAAGGGTGAAATCCGCTCTACACAAGTTCCTTTCGATACCTATTTTCAGGTGGAACCTTTACAAGAGTTTCACCGAGTTATACTAATGGCTGATTTTATGATGCATATAGCTCCAAAAATTTGGCCCGAAGATGAACGTATTTCATTTTGCTACATGGAGAGGAAAACTTTAGGTCCCAACAAAGCTCCGAAGCCAGACTGTCATGCTAAAGATGGAAATCCTTTTGGTCCATTTTGGGATACGTACAACATATCCTTCGTGGATTCTGTGTTTTATAGTCCTCTGAACTTCGATATACACCACAGAGCAATGGCATCAAAATGGCAAGAGAAGTATCCGGCTACAGAATGGCCGGTTATACCTTTTACTGGTGCACCTGCTAGCTTTCCCGTACAAGCGGAGAATAGAGATTTGCAACGTTACCTACGTTGGTCAAATATTTATGAAGATATGATGCGTAATTTTATTAAAAATAAATTACCGCGCGGTGCTTATATTGGTATTCACCTTCGTAATGGTATTGATTGGGTGCGAGCGTGTGAGCATGTACGTGATAGTCAGCAATTATTCGCTTCCCCACAATGCCTCGGCTATAATAATGAGCGTGGTTCACTGTATGTCGATCTATGCTTACCTTCTAAGGAGCTTATTATCAGACAAATCAAACGATTGATTAAGAGCGTTAAGCAAAGTAACCCTACCAATGAGATACGTTCAATATTTGTGGCAGCAGACGCTAATCATATGATCACAGAATTAAACACAGCATTGTCGCGTATGAATGTTACCGCCCATAAATTATACAATGATGACCCACACCTTGATTTAGCTATCTTGGGTACGGCAAATCATTTCATCGGCAATTGTGTATCATCATTTAGTGCATTTGTTAAAAGAGAACGTGATGTTAAAGGTTTACCTTCATATTTTTGGGCGTATCCCAAAGAAAAGGAACGCCAACATCCAAGAACACATGAAGAACTCTAAAAAATTTGCAAATATATATAACGCATATTATTCGCATTTGAACTTAACAAAATTTTCATATATACCCTTTAAGGTGTTTGTAATTTTAAAATATTATACTTTTTATTATATAGATTAAGAAAGCGCTTAATAAACTCAAAGCTATTACATTTAAACTTCTGATTTGTTTAAATTTTGTAAAGCCAAGAAAGTGGGATAATATAATAAAAAACAAGAAAAATCGGTTACCTCGGTTGCAAGGAATCTATAATACCCTTCACAAATAAAAAATTTCTATACAAAAATTTAATTTTGAACATTCAGTTTGTATGGCGTCTATGTACGTATGTATATGTTATAATGACCCGAACTAAACAATTGTTCGGATGATATATCGCTGCTTTGAACATTAATTTATGCCAAATTTCGTGAAGATATTTTGTTTCCATACAAGAGCTTGGTTCTAATCGTGCCGTTTGTATAGCAGCTACATGTATATGCTATAGTAGTTCGACTTGTAGAATTTGTTCGCAGATTGTACGGTTGGCTTAGAAAATAATTCATAACGAATTTTGTAAAGATTCTTCTTAAATCTTGTCTAATAAAAATGCTTGCCATAAAAGAATTTTGTTTTCATCGTTCAGTTTGTATGGCAGCTGTATGCTATAGTGGTCCGATATTGGCAGTTCCGGCAAATGTGTAGTTTATTGGAGAGAAAAGGAAAATTAGTGCTAAATCGACTCAGCTCGTCACGCTCATCCATTTTCTCTGAGTGTTACTAACTTCGTGGCAAACTTAATATACACTGCTCAGGATATAAAAAAAGATCAGCTAAACTGCGAAGTCTTAGCTTATAGGCACGCTAATTAGACCGGCTTCGAATACAGCGTAAAAAACCAGCGGGCCAACGTAGCCTACTATTGTGCGCATCGGAAAGTTCAATACCATAATGTTGTTTTTATTTCAGCGAAACCGGAGAACCTTTTCATGAAATAATTTTGAGTATTGCTGCCGCTTTGAGTACTTCGCGTCCGTTCCGGTTACATAGACCCGACTGTCGTGGAAATGACGATATGTGCAATTACCTCCCATTACATTTGAAAAGAAACACTATTATTAAACTTGTATTTGTTTTTTTTTATAATATTTATTGGATATTTTGCGATACGTGCGTCTAGGAGCAAAATTATGTATTTATTCATGTATGTAGTTTTTAATTCTATTTTCTGTATCAACGGATCTCTCTTTATTCATTTACTTTAGTTTAAAATACAGTACGAGTAGTGTTTGTGTGTAATTATGTATGTATGTATGCTTTTGTGTTAATGTATGCATTATGTATTTATGTTTGTTTGTTTGTTATATAAGGTGTTCATATTAGGGCGACTTATATAATATTATTTACAGAATATGCGCTTACACGGGGTTCCAGCGTCTGCCTGCGGCCTAACAAACATATCACCAAGCAGTAGTAACGAAAACTAAATTGGTGTATTTTCTTATGTGTGTACGATGTAGTTGGCTGGCACTCACTTAAATATACTTACATACATATTATTGTGTGTGTACCGTTAAGCCTTATTTAGACGTAATTAAGTTTTTTGTTAATATCTTAAGGTATGTATGTATGTATGCACTCAGGGGGACAGTTGGAACCAATTGTAAACATTTTACTTAATTTTAACGTTCTATATATTTATTTAATTATATATATTTATATATATATATATATATATATATATATATATATGTAATGTATGTATGTTTGTGTGTTTGTGTGTATTTATTTTTATTCATATATAATAGCTTATATTACAATTAATAGAGCAACGAACATAAAATATTCGAATTTTAATAAATATATACAAAATATTTATTACATATATAGATTATTATTAATCATCATTTACTTAGGTATGTTTATTGAAAAATATACATACATAATGTACTTATATGTTACATATACATAACGCTTACGGCAATTAATTCGTAATAAGTAATACAAACTATAACGGATAAAAGGAAAACAATTTTCGAAATTTTTGCAATTTCAAAATGCATAAAATATTTTCGTAAAAAACACATATGCAATATTTCGCATATTTTGCAGTATTCAATGAGAATAAATATATTGATAGTGAGAATTTCGCGTTGGGCAAGTGTGTGTGTGTGTGTGTGTGAAAAATTCATACTTTTATTTTATTTTATTTTTTTACAGCAGACACTCGCTATTTTTATGTACATATGTATATTTAGCGGCACTTAAACCTCATTATTGTGTACGTTAACATAAAAGTATTAAATATACCTAAAATAAGTGGTGAATGAAACTGGGCTTCTCATTAAAAACTTTTATGGTATGCAATAAAAAAATAGTAGTACTATATTAATTGTATTTATATATATATATATATATATTTATGTTTATATATTATACTTTGAAGTCTTTCTAAGGATCTCACAATCAAATTATGCAAAAATTCTCACAAAAGTTCACTTAATTAGCATAAATTATGTTCTGTCTAATTGTATATCAATATTCATTGTTAAATTAATGTATCATGATATTTGTTACTGCAACAATGAACAACATTTTCGCTGGCCTTAACGCGGTCTGTGGATTTTACACTCAATTTTTAAGTTAATTTTTGTCCTAAAAGCATTTTACGAGCATGTTTAACGCTTTGCAAATGGTTTTTATGAAATATGCTTGTTAAATATATACCAAAAAAAAAAAAATAATAATAATGAAAATTTATGCAATTATCGTCTCAGCATTAAAGGCATAACTTGAATTCGTCGCAATTTCTTGCATATTATAGCGAAAGTACTAGCAACAAATAAGTAGGGACACAAATAAACATTGCTTTTGTTATTTCAAACGTTCGTCGTAATTGCATGTCGATGAACAATAGACTAATAGTAAATTAATTAAACAAAAAAAAGAGAAAAAAAGATATAGTAATAAAAGTATTCAAACTTTTAATATCTCCTCTACTACACCTACTACTTTCACTATAATATACAAAAATTCACAACGCTTGTTCAAACTGAACGGCAGCGATTCTCATAGTTCAGCATGTATATATAGTTGCATTAAGCATTTTCTATAGCAGAACTTATTTTTATTTGTGTATATTTAGTTATTTATGCATTTACCAGCTGTTAATTTGTGTGTTTATTATTATTATATTTGTTGGGTTAGTTTTTGTTTTGCAGAATTCAGAATTCGTGTTTAAGTTGATATATTGGTGTAAATATATCTATGTATATGTAATTAGGTATATCTATTCAAGTACTAATATATATATCTATATATATATGTATAGCTATTGTTGTATTTTGTTTAGTGCAGAACCACAAATACTTCTACTACATGTGCGCAAGGCCTAAAAGGTTATTACAGAGACTTCATTATCTCATCTGATCACACAGGAGACGCACACCTTCGACGCACTCATGCAATCGTTATGACAGAATGCGCCACATTGCTGACAAATAACCATTGCATTCAACGAGCAGGCACAGTTGTCCGCTTCAGTTCGTGTGATATGGCCACTACCGTCGCTGCCAGCGCCTCCAGCACCGCCGCCGCCACTACCGTTACCAGCTGCAGCGGCGGCCACAGCAACGGCTTTGCTTACCAATTGTTCAGCATCCAGTGTGCTAGCATTGGTTGCGGTCACTATGTAATTGCCATCGGCAATAGCTGCTCCTGTTCCACTTAAATTGTCGATATAAGTTATATTGCCTGAAAGTGTACAATTTTTGATTAGAAAATAACTTATTTGCATAGTTTTTGTAAAAAGATTAAAAATATTTTATATTTCAAATACTTAATATTACACATATTTTAATAAATAATAAAAAGTTTTTCCATTTCTAATTTAGCTTCATTTTATATAGTATTGGAGAAAAACAAAAAAAAAATTAAATGTTTTTTATATTTGTTCTAATTTATTTTATTAATTAAACTTTTTTTTAATATTTTTTATTTTAATTTTCTTATCTTAATTTTATTTTAATTTTTGCGTATAATGCAACCTTGCTAACAAAGGAAATATTTGTAAATTTACACAGTTTTTGAGTTACTTTTGCAGTTATAATTTTATAATACATAAATAATAATACGGTTATAATTTTATGTAAGTAATATCTAAAATTAGTGTATTCGTACATAACTACATATTTATATATGTATGTACATACCGGCCGTGAAATTTCGACGCATTATACCAGTCGCTGCAGTTGTTTTTATAGCATTTATTTGTTGTTGTTGTTGATGATGATGCAATTGATTGTGCATATTGTGGTCAAGCATTGCATTTGAAGCGTCAATATCGACGGAGGCAGGACGCCCGCGTCCTGTTATCGGTATTCCATTCATATTGTGCAGTTGACTCTATAAGAAACAATAAGGTATCTACTTTAAATATATGCATATGTGGGGTAATTAAATAAATTTCTACACACTAACGAACCTGTGTTGTTTGTGGCACGGGCGGTGCGCTAGATGCTCGTGGCGCTTGATTATCAGCTGCTCCGACATTCGCTCGATGCACCAACACATATTGTCCACCACCATTACTATTTTGATGTAGATCGTGTGGCTGCTGTTGTTGTTGCACGGCAGCTGCTGCTGTTAATTGCTGTTGCAAACGTGGATTTGCCGTTACGTTGGTGTGTAGCGCATTGGCCGTTTGCGGTGTGAAGAGATGTCTTATAAGAGTGGGCGAAGGTTTTCGTTGCACATACTTTTTACGTGGAAAGCCCATGCGTGGGCCGATTACCTGCAATGCAAAAGTAAAATTAAACAATAAGTGAAAACCAAAGAATTTGTTTGTTTAGAAATACTATGTCCATAATTATATGTGCATAACAAGTTGAATATGGAAAATTGTTTGAAGCGTTATCTTGGTTGTGTAGTCTCAAAAGGAGTCGATTTTGAAAGCGATAATAAATATTTGTATGAAAATACGTAAAATACTATATTTAGTTTTTTTTTGTCAATCCGGGTCAAATTTGACCAGATGGTATACCTTATATACGCCAGGACGTCCAACGCCCATTATATTTGCAGGAATGCTAGTTAGGTCCTCTTGTTTGATAAAATTTTGAGATGACGAAGCGCTGGTTGCAGCTGGAGACGATGTCGCTACCGATATAGCGGCTGTTGATGCTGCCACCGATGATGCTGGTACAGTGCCCTGCAGCGTCATTGCCGTTGCTATATTACTCTGTGTCAACTGTTGCTGCTGTTGTTGCTGCGGTTGTTGTTGATGCTGATTTAATATAGCCGATGGCGGTCGTAATTGTGCTTTCAAATTCTCGCGATTTGGACTGTTTTGGATAACGGCTTGACAAATTTGATAGCTGCGTTCTAAATTGACCGCTCCTGGTGGCAGTTTATTAACGGTTTTACGTCCTTTACCGCCGGTTGGTAATTTACTCGCTGGCCGTTGCTGTGCAATTGTGGTAGGTATGCCAGCTGGTGTTAGACCTTTTATGGCATTTGTATTTGCGACGCTGACATTCGATGTGCTAACATTACTCATGTTGGAGGCAGCGTTTACAATCAGTTCCGTTGCGCGTGCTGAGTTCGCGATGGTGCTGCTAAAAGGCGGATATGTACTCACAGACGGTATGGTGACCGAAGCAATGCTTGCATTTGCATTCGCAACGGTGCCCGCATTCGTGCCGCGAGACATTGTTATAAGATTCATTGGCTTCGAAAGATATTTTGTTGGATTGTTCTGCGCTTGTGTGGCTAATGATTGAAAGGCGGGCATAGGTGGTGGTTGTTGTTGCTGCTGCTGAAAACGCTGAAGTTGTTGTTGCACATGAATTTGATGCTGCTGCTGTTGAGTCGGACTAGCTGTTACCATATTGCAATTAGTTGCCGCCGACACCGTAGGAACTTGTGGCTGTGTCAAAAAGTGTCTTTGCTGTGGCGCTTGTTGTTGGAGCACTAATTGTTGGCCGATATGCTGTTGAGCCGTTATACCACCCGGTGAGAGATAGTGTTGTCCATTTGTGCTCAACTCGATCGCTTTTCGTATTGTCGACAGTGTATGATGGGATTTTTGCGTATGTTGCTGCTGCTGCTGCTGCTGTTGTTGTTGTATGTGCTGCTGTGTCGAAAGCGCTATAGTTGGTGTTTGCTGTTGTTGTTGCTGTGGTTGTGCTGCCTGAAAGGTAAACTGTTGCGTGGCTTGTTGCAAAAGTTGCTGTTGATGTTCGAGTTGCTGTTGCTGCTGTTGTTGATGTTGTACAAGAAAATTGCCTATAATTTGTCCATTCGTATCAAGAAGTATTTGCCGTTGTGGCGTATTTTGTCGCTCCGTTGTTGGCTGTTGTGATTGCGCGTGCTGCGCTTGCTGTTGCTGATGCAAATGACCGATGGTTGCCGGCGAGTGGGCGCTCAATTGTATGGTCACATTACCATCAAGCCGACTGTTGCCACCGCCACCCATATGCAATTCGTTAACGCTGTCGTCGGAATTGCTGTTCGTTATAACCGTGCTAGACACTTCCATTTCGTTAGCTGACATTTGAACATCGCAAATCATATCCGTATCCAACTGTAACAACGAAATCTTATTTGTAGTTGTAATTAAAACAATGTAGGTATATGCAATAAATTTCGCTTACCTCATAGTCGGAATGTTCGTAGGTTAAATGGCCTCGGTGCTCTTGATTTTCTGTTTCACGCAATTCTTGTTGTTCCTCTAATTGTTGTTGATGTTGCAGTTGTTGTTGTTGCTGCTGCTGTTGTTGATCTTTAAGCAGTTGTCTATGTTGTTGTTGCAATTCGTCAACTATATCACGTACAGCATCATTATCATCAGCGTCATCATCATCGTCGTCCTCATCCTCCTCCTCCGCCTCGTCATCATCTTCCACATCCTCCGTCCGAATATTACCATCAACATTTGCATGTTCATCGCCTTCACCAACGACACCCACAGCACGACAATTAGCAATTGCCACTTGAGCTGCAACCGCTTCCTCGTCACCACCAACAGCCATGCACTCGACAACTTCGTCAGCTTGTGTTGCATCCATGCTTGGCATATGTGCATCTTCCACTGATAACGTATTCATATTTTTCACTTTTATAACGCCTTGATGCGTTTGTATCACACCGTTAAAACTACTCGACGTTGCATCTGTGGGCTGTTGCAACTTTATGCCGCCGAAGTTCCAATCGTGTTGCACATGATGGAACAAATCCCCGCCTGTTTTCTCAGCCATAGACAGTATAATTTGTTGATGTTGTTGTTGTTGCTTTTGTTCGAGTGTTAGCGGAGCGGCGAGTGGCAGTTGAGCCGCTGCTGCATACAACACATCACCACTGGTCGTCGGTGCCGAAGTCATTGAGGAGGAAGAGGACGAGGAGGCCGATGAGGTGGCCACTGATGAGATACAACTGCCAATATCTTGCTTATTTTCAAAGAGATTGTCACAAGCTTGAGATGTTGTGCCTACGGCGGAGAATATAGAAAAAAGTAAGATTGATATGTACAAATACAGCTATATGGATGGTACGCAGGCGTAACCATATTAAATTAAAAATAATTAATTTCTTTGCTAACGCATCATATAAAAAACATTTCAGCTCCATACTTAACGCTAATTTCAAGTATATTTATACCTTCAACAGTGTAAATGACAATTTGCCAAGAAGTTTGTTACACGCGTACGAGCTGGGTCGATTTAGTTATGTTCGTCTGTCTGCCTGTATATACCTATCTGAAATTTCTCATACATTTGTGTCTTCCCAAGAAGTTGCGCGTTTGTAGAAACCGATGATATCGGAATGCTATAACATATAGCTGCATATATAAACTGACAGATCAAAATTAAACTATTGTATGCAAACCTCATTTGACAAGATATCCTCACGAAATTTGACATAGATTATTGTCCAAAGCAATGCTACAATTTCCGAATATATTGCACAGATCGTACCACTATGGCATATAGCTGCCATACAAATTGAAGGATCCAGTTCTTGTATGGAACACTGTTTTATTTGACATGATATCTTGACAAATTTCGGTTGTTGTTGTAGCGGCAGAAAACATTCCTGTAGTAATTTCTAGGAATAGTGCCGAGTTGACAGTCCTTGGCCGCATAAAAATCCGTGTCCGTTCCGGTTTCTTATCAACCGACTGTCGTGGGAACGAGCATGAATTATTATTTAAGGCAACGGTACAATCACCGAACAAACTCTTCAGATCGGACCACTATAGCATACAGCTGTCATATAAACTGTTCGATCAAGACCAAGATCTTGTATGAAAGTTTTTCATTTGTGAACGGTATTATAGCTGCCGTGCAACCGAAGTTAACGTTTTTTCTTATTTAAATAATTACCTTGATCAACTGAATCACAGAAAATGAATTTTTTCTCCTTCATATTAGCGGCATCGCCTGGCGTAAGTAAAGCACTGTTTGTACCTATAAATAATAATTTATGCAATTAGCTGTATACAACCAAAAATGTATTTAAATGCAAGTCGAGAATTTTGGCTAAACTAGTTCACATATATATTTAGTTTTTAAATTAAAAATTAACAACAACAAAAATATATATATATATATATTAATTGCTTACCAGCACTGCTGTCTGTACTAACTTCGCCAGATTCTAAAACATAATTTTGTGCGTCAGCAAACTTTTGTTCAATTAGCTCATCATCATCGTCCTCACCGTCTTCTATTGAAATTATTGAACATCCATGCAATTGTTTGCCTTGCGTTGGGAAAGTTTGCAATGTTATACCGCTGCTAAGGCTTGGCGCTGATGACACTGCTGGTAATACCGCATTCACATTCACAAACGTTGAAGTGCCTGACAGAAGTGTTGCAATACTGTTACAGGTACTATTTGCCACAGACGTAATTGCTGCGGCAAATGATGTCTCTGGGTTTTCTAGGAAATTCGACGCTTTCATGCTCATATCGGTTATATTATTGCCAACAATTGTCTCTTCACTACTGACTGTAGACATCAATGTTTCTTTAAGCAGCAGCGCGGCATTGGCTTGCTGTTCGAATTCTGTGTTGTAGATATTGCTGTTATACAAAAAACTATCGTTGGTGGGCATTTTTGTTGCGGATGAACTGGTGGTTAAACTATTACTACCACTCAATTCTTGTGAGCTGGAAGTAGCCGATGACACGGATGGCGAGAGTGTGTCTTTGAGCTCATCTTTAATGGCATGGCTAACTTCTTGTTCTATACTGGTCGCTGCGTCAGTTATATCATATTCAGGTTGCTGCTGGCGCAGCTGTTCTGTTTGGTGTTCCATTTTCATTTGCTTACTTTGTGTACGATTTTCATATGAAATGTCAGGCTCCGAACGTTTTCGTATATTGCCGCTGCTCCCACACTCAATCAGCTGTCTTTCATGTTCCAAAGCAGCAAGTGCTAATGATATTTTAGACTCTTCGCCGGGCGTTTCGGTTTGTATGCCACTAGAATCGCTACGCAATAAATCAAAGGTTGATGATGAATCCGTGCAGCCAATATTATCCTAGTGTATTTATTCAAACAGTTAAAATAATTAGAAATTTTACAATTAATAAAAATAATACATTTTTTTAAACCAACAATACACTCACCACATCGCAATTTGTATCAGTCTGTTTTTCATAATCGGTTGTAGATGATCCTGTTTGTTCTTGTTGTCGCAACTCGTCGAGCTGTATTTCCTGCTCACTTTTTATTGAGTTCACATTCGTACTGGCAATCGATTCGTCAACAAATTCTTCTCCCTCTTCTTTAATGTCTACAGAAGATGATGTTGTGTTCTCTGTACTCTCAGCACTTGTTGCTGATGTCACGGTTGTTGTCGTTGTAGAAGCTGCTGACGTTGTCGCCGCTAATGATGTAGCGGTTGACGCTGCTGCTGCTGTTGATTTTGTAGATGTCTTCACAATGGTGGCGACCAGGCCGCCTTTACTCTCCAATTTGAATTCTAGCCGCTCATCTATTAGATTAGTATAACTATCACTGCTTTTACCACTACTATAACTTATATTGCTGCTATTGCTACTAGTACTACTGGCGCGATTGTAGGATTTTTCACCCCATATCGGTTCGAAATGTTTTAATTTCCATGGATCCAATTTATTTTTTTCTCTCTCGGCTTCAGTTTTCATTTTCATTTGATTTTCGGGCGTGAATTCACCTTCCGCCAGTCGTTCACGCCACTCCAAGCAGGCACGTGCAAAGAACTCATTATTTAGGCTGGATGGACCCAATTTTATAGCTTCCATAGTAACGGTGGAATCGGCATTGTTTTTGCGCTCTATTTCGATAGCCTCGCGATCTACGCTTGGTAACAACTGTATGAGGTTATACTGATATAATGGAGGCAGCATAGAAAAGGTTTGTTTATTGAGTAAGGCTCTCAAATTGGTCGAAGCTAATATTGAGTCGGGTGTTTCGAGGTCAATTTTTCCATCTTTTGTTTGCTCTATTTGTGCAGCAGTGGAGATTTTCTTGGAAGACCGTCTACGAGGTTTAAAACTGAACCCTGGTATTGATGCTAACACCTCACGCATAGTGGACGCTTGTGTAATGGCTGTTACGGGCGTAGTTATAGATGCGGATCCGGTTGTTGTCGCGGGGGCAGCTGCAGCGGCAGCAGCAGCTGCTGCTGCTTTAGCTTGCTGTTGTGCACGTCGACTACTACTGGCACGGCTTGAAGGGCTAGGTGTTGTGTTCTTTCCACCGGTGGCATTAATCACAGTATTCGCAGTTGCAGTTGCCGTTGACGTTGCAACGTTGCTACTCAACGTTGTTGTCGCCGTAACTGTAACCTTTTTCTCGGGTGGTATGGGTTTAACAATGATGCGAGGAACATGACGTCTGTAAGGTAAAAAAATATATATAAAACATATTCATATATTGTGGCATAATCACATACACTTAAATGTAAATAATTAAATAAAATCTTCAATAAGAAAATTAAATATTTACCGTAAACTGTGGCTGTGCTTGGCGCTATTTGATAGCTTATTTCGCGAGCTATGTTGTTCGATAGCAGTATCTAATGCTAGGGGATCCTTTTCCTCCTCCTCACTCAAGAGATTAACGTGTTCCGTTTTTTCTGCCATAGGATCAGCATTTATTTTCTGACGCACAGAAGGTAAATGCGATTCCATAGTCAATGAGATTTTGTTATGTTGGGATGTTGTTGGGCGATAAGTTATTGATGTACCCAATAAGGTCGTTCTCATACTCTTAGCAAATTAGTGTGGAACAGGAGCTTATCCGATTATTTCTCCAATACAACGAAATCTAATATAAGGACATGAAATAAAATATTAGTACAACTATTGAATACAAGCATTCTTAAAGTCAAAAATTAATATAAACAACGCTTTGTGCTACAAAAACTAAACAAATTTGTTGTTGTTATTAATCGGTTCAGTTATAACAACGTGATATTACTTGATATATCCATATCGATTTGAAATCCTTTTCTCTCCAAAAAACTGCTCATTTGGCGAAATCGCCGATATCGGACCACTATAGAACAAAACTGCCATACAAACTGATCGATTAAAATCCAGTCCTTGTATGGAAAACTTTTGTATTTGATGACAAATCTTCACGATATTCGGCATGGTCCAAGACAACGGTACACTCTCTGAAGAAAATTCTCAGATCGGAACACTATAGCATATAGCTACCATACAAACTGACCGACCAAATTCAAGTTCTTGTATAAAATATTTTGTATTTGTGGAGGGTATTATAGCTTCGATGCAACCGAAGTTAACGTTTCTTTTTGTTTCTTTTCACAGCACAACTTTTGGAATTGCTTTCAAATTCAATTCAAAGTTGACATAAAATTACCGACGTAAGCACAACATAGACTCATTGACTGAGATTATTTAGTAAAATATATTTATGTAACGAAAGATATACTTGTATCACAAAAATTCGACATGGGCTTACTAACAAGTATTTAAGAACAAATGAGTAAAATATCTCGAGCACTTTAATAACGATTTCACCTCTATACATACATAAATAAACGCCCTAACCAACTTTTTTAATTCGTTCATACGAATTAAATCGGTAATTTATCCAATGAAAAATTTTGGTTAGGAGAAAATAAAAATTTATTTGTTATGCGCATTCTTCAAAACTTTAATGTTAGTTTAGCACTATTTATTTACAAAATAATAAGCTTGGCTTGTGCTTTCTATCTTTCTTTAGAACAAGCAAAAGCACAAACGTCTGTTTACAATATTTTTACCGAGCAGTTTTCTGGTGTTTAATTGTACATGTTTAGCGAATAATTATTTTAATCAAATACTTATATGTAAGTATGTATGCACAACAAATCAGCCCTATTATGCGGGTACGCAATATACATTTATATATTATTTAAAATTCAGACTTACCTGACCTGTGGACTCATTTTGACCCTTTAAAAGCCAACTTTTGGTCACAAAAATGAGGATTACAATTCTTTTGAATCGTGATTAACTCGAATTTATATCCAAAATTGTTGCGTTTCGTTTTTTCTGCAAATTTTCTATAGCCTCTGAAGCACATTTCTTCTATAGATCTCAGATTTATCGCATCACTTTTCTTCCTACCCGTGTATAGTGGTGGATGGATAAAGTCGTGCGTCGTTTATTCGTTCCCGTTCTTTGATTTCGTTTTTCCTTTGTATCCCATTACTATTCAATTCATTTTCATCAGTTTTTCCTTTCCTCGCGTTAGCTCTATCTATCGCTTCCCCTATTTATCAGAACGCTCTTTTCACTGTTCTTTTTTCAATTGCTGGAATGTCTTTGCAACTATTTTTTTTTCATACGTATTTTCATTTTTCTACGGTCTACAATTTAATGGTTATTTTCTTATTTTCCAAGATTCCTTTAACCCAAAGTCATTTAAATTTGCCACAATTAGATTTCTTTACTTCTTTTCAAGATCATTAATTCAGTTTTTCATAAAATTTGCATAAAGTAGACAGCGGAAGAATTAAAGACAAACTAACAAACAAAAGCAAATTTTCCTGTTTTCATTCGTTTTGACAGACCCAGCTGACACTTATAGAACCAACTCCTTTTTTCTTATACTTATTGGCCGCACTTGCATCACTGGCCAATTCGACCCATCTCTTTCTCACACCAATGCAATGGCACAGTTATTGCAAGTTAAGTTTTTGCTTTTACATATCTTTTCACTTATTTCGATCTACAATTAACTGCACAATATTATATCGTATAAACCCGTGCATTATGCAATAAATTTTTATATCAATTATATATTCACTGTTTTTTCAAAATGAAAATGCCGAAATTTTTCAATTGGACCACAATTTAACTTCATTGATGCGAAACTCACTTTTCTATGTTCATGTTCTTCTCAACTCAATACTTTTTGACAGGGTTGCTTTGCGAAAAAGATTCCGCCTTCGTACATCTTGTAGCATAACTGTCAGTGAAAACGAAAATACAAAATAGTACTTTTTTAGAAGTACCGAGTTTCGAATGTCAGGATATACTATCTGAAAACTGCTAAGGTGGCGTCAAAACGAAATTTGCAAATGTTAAACTAACTGATTCTGTTAATTCAAGGAGTCTGAAAATTAGTAAACAATCAAAAAAATAAAGACAAAAGCCATTACATATATATTAATAGACTATTATTTGCATTTTCATTAACACAATTATTATTTATTTTTTATACAATAGTTTTTAGCATTTAATATATATATGTTATACAATTTTACTGCCTTGCTGATTCGATTTCTGATTGATTTGAACGTGAGTTTGTCGCTTCTTTTCTTCTTTAAAGGCCTCCGTGTTTGCCTTCTTTTCGATTCGTCGTTCTAGCCGATACTCTTTTAAAAGTCGTTTGCGTTCCCTCTTCTCTTCAGGTGTTTCATCTTTAGGTCGAAGGGATAATACACTTAAGGTAGATATTAACGACTTGTTGCATAGTGATTTTGGACCGCCCGAAGAAATCGCTCCATTTTCAAGTTTTGCTAAAGCTTTCTCAGTAAGTTGGTTATCATCGCCATTTCTTAAAACATTTAATGGCATTCCCGTTTTCGGATCGATTTCAATTTTATTTGGGCCATCATTTGATTCAGCTTTACTACTTCTACGACTTCTACGTGTGGGCTCTGCAATGAGTTTCGGGTGATTATAGATATTCGAATATGTTGAAAGCACAGATTCACAATCCCATTTCTTCTGTTTATCATCATTCATTTCTACTTCAACTAATTCCTCATTGGGATCCTCTTCACCATCAACAATATCACGATATTTTTTCACCCGTTCACGATCCCATTCCTTTTTGTACGGTTCCACTCTTTTGCCACGTTTGTGTTCTCTGTAGCATGCCATCAAAACTCGATGCTTCTGATCCCAATCTCCCTCAATTTCTTCACAGGCTAGATCTCCCAATTCTGGATCATCATATGTTGCATAAAAATGCTCAAAGCGATCATCTAACAATGACAATTGTTCGTTGCGCCTAATAACACTTGAGGACATAGAATACTCAGTAAATCGAGATTTAGTTTCCTCATCATTAAAACGACGTTCACGCAGTAACGGGCCAAGACGATCCATTAGTTCTTGATCATCTTCCTCTTCATCACTTCCGTTTAAATCATCAGAATCTAAATCTTGATCATTATCTTCATCTATATTAGAAGATGATTCATCATTATCATCATCCTCATATTGACTATCTTCATCATCATCTTCGCCTTCTGCCATTGCTTTCATAATAAAATCATCTTCCAATACGTTATCCTCATTATCGAAATCAAAATCTTCATCTAATGCTGCAACTACATCTGGGTCCCAATCTGGTCGTGGTCCAGAAACGGTGGCCGCTCTGTTTAACATACCTTCATCCTCTTCAAATTCAGAAGCGAATACTGAACTTGGCAATGCCAATTTTGGAGCGGTAGTTACTGTGCCTTCTTCAATTCTCTTGCGTGCATGATTTGGGTTTTCAACATACTCCCAAACCACTTCCTGCTCCGGCTTTTTTAAATGCTGTAGATAATCATAATCATCATCAAAAAATATACCAAACTTCTGTTGTTCTTCACGGCGTTTAGTAGTGTTTATTGGGTCAGCGGTTTTAGTTTGGTTCTGTGGGGCCGCTTCTACCAGCACACGTTGAGGCGCAGTATCATCAGCTACCAGAGGGTCATGTTGACTTCTGTGTACCAAATGAAAGGTCACAGCGCTTTTGCGATCGATAAAAGCTTTCTTGCCCTTACCCTGGGAGATTAGAATAATAACGTGAATTCAACTCCAAAAATATTACATGTTCTTACCATTGTGCTTTAATATTATCAAACTGAGGAAACGTATTAGCAATGTAAAGAAAATTATTTTATTATGAATTGACAGTAAAAAACATGTGTCCAGCGAATGGGATATGCAAACGAAAAGAAACGAAGAAAACAAAATGTGAAAAAATATCCAAATGGCTAGAATAATAATAAACAGAGAAGAATTGAGTTACGTACCAGGAGTTGCCAAGTATCATATGTTAAACTATCAATAAAATCATAGAAAAATTTAATTGTTTTAAGAGGAAAATAAACCATTAAAAAAATGTTTTTTATAAACAAATAAACAATTTAATTTTGTTTTAAAGACTTAGTTTATATGTAGCCTACAGATTACCAACAATAAGGCTGAGCAGGTCTAATACTTCTCCAAAACTGTTATCGTGATACCAAATAGGATCAGGCATGTATTTATAATGAGTGGTATCACTAACTTTTCTATTCTGATTGAAAAAGTTGTAAGAAGAAGAAAGTTTATAATATTGGTTAAAGTGCAAAAATTAATTGAGTAAATCATGCAAAGATCATTTTAAAATGGACGGAAAGGAAAGTAGTACAACTGATCGCACGGATGTGGCGGCAGTAGGAAATGACGGTAATAATAATATTCCTCACCAAACTGTGTTTTTATACGAATGTATATATTGATTGTTTTTAAATGCTTTCCCTATTAGAAAATTTGCAACAGCTTGTCGAAAATCTGCAGGAGGAGAAAAGGAAAATACAAAATGAATTTAATGCACAAAGAGCAAAAATGAAGGAACTGTATTTACAGAAGGAGACAGAACTTAATAAATGCCATGTGGACCGTAAAAAATTGCAGCGGGAACTGGATGAGATGAAGTCTCAATTCGTGGTCGCGGACTTAAAGTCGGAAAATGAGTTACGTTTAAAGGAGCTTAAGGCGCAAGAGGAAATCTCGTCATTGCAGCAACTAGTGCAAGGTGCTTGAGAATTTGTTATTCAATAAAAAAATTGGTTCAATATTTTCTTTTATGTAGATACGATTGAAGAGTCGACAATTTTAAAAGCTGACTTAGAACGCATGAAAGAAGAAAATAACAAGCTTTGGCAGGAGAATCGTGAATTCCGCGACCATGTACAGCAACAACCTGTAGAAACTACTAGCTTGGCGCCACAACAAATGCTGAGTCACGTAAAAAAGACTTTAAGAAAGCTTGGCGGCGACTCTACCGGGAGCGTAATAGCAAATAGTTTTAGTCAAACGGACAGTAATGATGAAAATAACAAGTCTAAAAGTGGTAAAAAAGACTACGTAAGTAATGACCTTATTCTAATCATGGTAAACTAAAAATTCAAAGTTTATGATATTGCATAAATTTAGGCGCAAGAAGATGCTGAAGTTTTACGTTCAATTGTGGTGCAGTTGCAAGAAGAAATGGAAGCACTAAAGGAAAAACTACGCGAAACAGATGAAAAATTAAGAAGTCAAGAGAGCACCGCATTAACCAATGTTATAACGCAAGAAAATGGAACGCCAAAGGATGATATATCTATTAACAAATCCACTTCCATAGATATCAACACTATATCCTGTGATGCCTGCATGCAATATGAAAAACAACTACAAGAAATGCAAGCGAAAAGCGCTGAAGATCAAATCACAATAAATTCTATGCAAAAAGCAATTACCGCCTCACGTGAAGACTTACAAAAGGAAGCTGCTTTGCGTAAAGACTTGGAAGATCAATGGCAAGAGCGACGTGAAGCTCACAAAACAGAAGTACAAAAATTGCGCGAGCAGGTAAAATCAAGCGAAGAGCAATTGCTAGAGTTGCAGCAAAAGTTTCTCGACACCAAGGAAGAGGTAATGCGGCAGCTACAACGCATCACAGACGAACGCGAGCGTGTCAACAAACAACTGGAAACCCTGCAGGCAGATAACGACTTTCTTTCCGGTCGTTATTTGGCATCTTCTGAGGAGATCGAGAGCCAAGAGATTAATTTGCCCAACACAGTTGAGGAGTTGCAAGAATTAATATTGCAACAGCAAAACGATCTTATACAAGCACGTGTCAGTAGTGAATTCGAACGCAAGAAATGTGTAACCTCGCTGGATGAAATACAAATTTTGCGTGACCAATTGGAAAAAAGTAATAATGAGCGAATGGCATACAAGAAGAAGATGCAAACCGACAACAAATCTTGGCAGTAAGTGGGAAGGCTTAAAAAGTTGCATGAATTTATTTTAATTTTAAATATTTTAGTTGGCCGCATATTTTTACAGTATTAATAAAAGTCCTATATGTATTTTTTTTTTGTCAGAATACTTTTTGTGCATTAAAATATATTTATTTTATATTATTTTTTATTAAATATATATAATCTAATAATTTTTGGTAAAAAATAGTGACATTTTATATATTTAGTTTTCCGTAGAGCATAAAAAATATCATAATTTTTGTAGGGATCGCTTAACCGAACATCTGGTAACAATTCAAACCTATGAAACGGCCAAGACGACGCTGGAACGTAAGGAAACTGAGCTGAATAGGCAGATATCCAAATTTCGCGTTGAGATCATCGAATTGCAGGATACAATAGTAATTGTTATTTTTCGACTAACTTATGTGCTATTTAATAACTAATTTCGTTTTGATTGATAATTGCAGGAAAAGTTAACTAAAATGAATGCAGATTATAAGACAAAAATCAAAATTCTCCAAGATGATTTGGCTACCAGCGAGCAAGTGCAGAAAGATTTTGTAAAATTATCACAAAGTTTGCAGGTAAAAAATGTTTTTTATTTATTTATTTTTAATTTAAAAATAAATTTTTATTTTTATTATGTGGATTATTATTTTTTTTTTGAATTGTAGTCATGCTAATGTAACTTTTTTGTCTTTTTAGCTTAAATTAATTTTTTCATTCTTTTTATAACATTAGTTTTTATTTACATTTTCATATGTGTTCAATACTGATATTTTTTTAGCTTATAATGATTTTTGTTTACGTTTTTGTGTATTAAATTTACTTGAAATATTTTGTTAAATAGTTAATGCATATTATTCTATTAATTTTTTATTCTAAAATATTCTAGGATCAATTTTTGTGTGTTAAATTTTCTTCAAATATTTTTTTATATATATCATTTACTATTAATGTAAATTTTAATAAGTTTTATGTTTAATTTATTTGGTTTTATTTCCTTTGTTTAATTTTATTTAAATTTAGTTTCAACTCTATTTTTACTTATTTTATTTTATTATATTTAGTTCAAATTATTATTATTTTTTTAATTATTTCGTTTCATTTTAAATTTTGATTTTATTTTATATGTTTTTTTAATTGTGTATAATTTAAATTTGTTTTTAATTATATTTAATTTAAAACTTATTTAATTTTTTTTATTTAAAAGAATATTTAATATACAGTCTTTTTTTAATTTTAAATATTTTTAGTTTGATTTTTGCTTTTATTTTATTTATATTTATTATTATTTTGTAATTTTTGATTTTTCTTTCAGTTTTTAAATACATGTATTTTTAAATTTAATTAGATTTTTATTTTTAAATATTTTTTTTTAATTTTTAAATATTTTTTATTTAAATTTTACATATTTTTTTTAATTTTTAAATATATATTTTTTTAATCTTTAAATGTATGTATATAGTTTTTTAATTTCTAAATTTTATTTTAAGTTTTAATTATTTTTCTTTTAATTTTGAAATATTTTTTTTTTAATTTTGAAATATTTTATTTTTAAATTTTGAAATATTTTTTTTTTAATTGTTAAATATTTGTTTTTTAATTTTTAAATTAAAAAAAAAATTTTTTAATTTTTTTCTGTGCCCATGGTTTTTCTCCATCCAACTGTTTCCAATTCCTCTCTCCAGATGTCTTTGGAAAAACTGCGCAAATCTGCTACGGAAGTTCGCTGGCAAGAAGAAGAAGATGTCGATAATTGTCCCACATGCAATACCTATTTCACAGTGACTGTACGTAAAATTCATTGTCGCCATTGTGGACACATCTACTGTGAAAAATGTCTGACGAAGACAGTGCCGTCGGGCCCGCGCAAAAAAATCGTACGTGTCTGTGATATTTGCCATACACTGTTAACACCAAATACGGCGCCCTACTTTAGTCAGGAACCGCTACCCGCTAACTGAGCAACTACATACTAATATGCTTTTATTTACTTTAAATACTTGGTACTACATACATACATACATACCTACATATATTGAAAATCATTTAGATAGACTGACAGTTTATTGTCTCGAAAAAAAAAACAGAAAAAAAACCTATTTTCCTTTTAGCGTTTAATATTTCCTAGAAAAATAATGTTAGTTTAGTTAACAAAAAAAAAACGAAATATTGCGTATATTCTTTGTTCATGTTGGTTGATGCTACTGTGCATAGTTCCGATGATAGTTAAGTGTATGTATGTTTGTTGAATTTATAAAAAGAAAACAATCATATCCAGTCATCGCTCATTAAATGAGTAAGATTTGTGTATGTAAAATTTCGTTTTCTGTATTTGCTGCTTGCAAAGGTACATCAAGTGTGCTAGCTAATAAACTATTGCCAACAATATACATAAATATATTTTATTAAAAGCAAAGCAAAGCAAGAAAAGAACAATAAAATTATAATAAATAAAATGTATAAGAGCGTAATTAGTGTAATGTGCAAGTTGAAATAAAACTTAAAATAAATTTAAATTATACATATATACATGTGCTATAAATTAATGCAAGTCACTGAAAAAATACATAAGGCACTGCAATTGCACACAAAGTTCTCTCTGTGTGTGTGTAAGTAACGAAGCAAGTCATGGTCATATGCAATCACGTCTTTATCTGCCTTAAAAGTGTGTCAGACGACTTTAATTGGACTCTGCAAATAAATTTTGTTTTAAACAAGTTAATTACGTATCGCTTCAATATATTCCGAATTCATATTGAGGACCTACCTTACCACAGCGATTGTCCTAGCATTGCGCCAAACACCGAAATCAGCAGCGCAACAGTCAAACTGAAAATTGTATTTACCGAAACTGCAAAAAAATACATTTTGGTTGTGGTAAACAACCAGCGTTAAATATATTCAATTATGTGTGCGCTTGCAGAAATATTTTTTTTTCATAGAACTTATTGAATCTATTTTTTTTTGTAATTGAACTTATGAAAATTACATATAATACAACAATTAACAAAAAATGTGTTGAATAGTTTGTGTATTTACAGCGACAAAGTAATGGTGTGAAAATTACAAAAGAGTCTACTTATAGTAAAAGGAAAAAAAATACAGGGAAAACCGTTAACTTTGGTTGCTAAGAAGGGGCCTTTACAGGTGCATTCCTTATAGCATAAAAGGGTATAAAAAGGCCTTTATCTTGATTATAATCGGTCAGTTTGTAATGCAGCTATATGCTATAGTGGAGCGGTATGAACAATATTTTCGGAGTTTGAAGCCTTGCTTAGACTATCGTCAACTGCCAAATTTCGTGGTTATACCTAGTTTATATGGCAGCAGTTTATATAGCAGCAATAAGCAGCTTCTTGGCGAGGAAAACATGTATGCAAAATTTCAGAACAATATCTCAAAAACTGAGGGACTCGCGTATATACAGACTTAAAACGAGTGAGCTCGTCACGCTGATAATTTATATACAAAAATTTTTATATTTACATTTTATAGTTTCTTCAACGTTGCCTTTTGGGTTTTACAAACATCGTGCCAAACTTAATATATCCAGTTCAGTTTATAAAAAATCACTCTGGTCTAGTTTGAGGTTAAGTTGACTTTGTAATATTCTCTCAGTTTTCTTGACATTTCCATTCAGAACTGATATTACAAGTAATAGTTATATAATAAAATAATAATTCAATAAATTATTTATTCATTTATAATGAACTAGCTTTTACCCGCGGCTTCGCTCGCGTCGAATCCATCAAATAAATAACTGATATCATTATAGTAGATATGGATCCATATAAAGAATATATTTTATTGCATGGCTTGGATTACTAAAGGCAATGAATTTTCAAATTTTAAAATATACAGCTTCCTGCTGCTTAGCTTGTCTTTTCGAACGTACTCGATGAGAAGTTTCAGCTGCTCTCAAAACACGTTGTCGATCTGCTTGCTGTTGCCTTCTCAGCTCTGCTTGAACTTCACATTCTTTATTTCGTGTAACTTTAGCCTTACGCACCGGCGTAGAATTTCTTGACAGCGCCGATTTCCGCTTTCGAGGCATTTTTATATTTAATAAGAGTAACTAATAATATTTGTGTTATTTCTCTGATTTACGTTTTTTATATATTTATGTTTTCTTTCATTTTTAATTTTTTCGACAAACAATCATTTCTGCCAACCTTTTTTTTTTTCAATTTCAAAATTTTCAAATTTATTTTCCAAACATATATAATCTTCCAAAATAATTTTTTTTAATAATCCGTAAAAAATTTATAAATTTTGTAATAAAAAGTATCCTATGTTCATTCTGACACCTCTAAGAGTATATGTACAAAATTTCATGATGATCTGTTAAGTAGTTTTTGCGTGAAAGCTTAACAAACAAACGGACTTTCGCATTTATAATATTAGTATAGATAGAGTATAGTAACAAAGCAATAATTAAATAAAAACTGGAAAACAAAAATTATTGTTTATGTAATTTTTTATGTTATCAACATTTTTTACATATTTTTCTTTCAAATAATTGTCTAGTTGTATCAAGAACCACACTAAACAGAAATTTATTAAGTTTATGTAAGAAAAAACTAAATATTTATTTGATTTTATTAACATACTTTCGTTACTATTGAGATAAAATAATTGAATGGAGTTAAAATGAATATTTGTCTATTTTTTATTTAATTAAAAACGAAAATATTTTAAAAATTATATTTTATTAAATTTAATTTGTTTTAATTGATAAAAAAACAATATAAATATATTTTTTAAATCATGATAAATTTAATTTTTTTACATCAAATATATTTTATATATTTACTTTTTTTATTTCTTAATAAATCATACAAAGGCGAAACAAAGAAACAATAATTTAATAAAATTATTAAAAATATTGTACTTGATATATTGAAATAAATTTAAACAAAATATATTAAAATGCTTGATATTTTGAAATAAATTAAAATATTAATTTGTGTAAAAAATGTTTAGCTTTTTAAACGAAATTTTTTTTTGCTTTATTAAAAAATTGCTTTTAACACGAAATTTACTTTTTTTAGTCTAAATAATTTCGGCTTTAAACTGGAAGATTTTATTTTCTTAAGATTATATCATTTTGTAACTTATATATTTTTATAACTACTTTTGTTTTTATTTTGCTTTTGTTAAAATGTTAATAAAAATTAGTTTATGTGCCATGGTGAATAACGAGTAAGAAGACTTTAAATGAAAATATAACATTTATATTATGTACAATACATTTATTTCACATGTACATATACATATGTATATGTATGTATTTAAATATTTACACACTTCTGATGGAGTTAACCGATTTTACGGTCTTCGCGGTCTGCACAATGAAAGGGTGGATTTGTGGAGACTTTTTGTGGTATAAATATATGTACATATGTATGTATATGTTTCTTATGTGTGTGTGTGTGTGTGGGTGTACATATGTATACAAGCATGTATGTATGTATGCCCTGACGCATTAATGAAACAAATTTTCATTTTATTTATAATAATATGTTTATCTATTTTAATTTTATTTATTGTACAATTACAATGCAATCTTAGATGAATATTCTCTAATATAGTTTAGCAATATGCTGTGAGACAATAACAACAACAAAGACAAATGAACTGTAATGAGTCGAGATTTTTGATTGTTTTTTGTTTTTTTTTGCTTTGCTTTTTTGTTTATATTTTTAATTTTTTCTATTTTTTTAAGTGAATTTAGTTGCTCTATTTTGAAAACGCATCGTCACCTGTTGATACCGCACTATTCGATAGTGACAAGTCGCCACCATATTTTGTGAGGAGCTCAATAATAACGCCATTGCTCCAGCCAAAGCCTTTCTGCACCTCGTACTCTCCGCCGCCACCATGGCCGCCGAATGTCATCGCATCGTACTGTTATGGCAAAAAACAAAAACAAAAAGAAAAAAAACAATATTCTTAAATATTCAATAGAGTTTTCATTTGTTGCAAACCTTTTCGAACATCGTCTGCGTCTGTTTGTATGCCTCGAAATTCGATTTCACCCATCGATGTCCCCATCGCTCTGACAGTTTCTTTGCCTCGGGCGTACCTAAGTTCTCCAAACCGCCAATAAGCAAATATTGCATTGGTGGCCACACATTAGGGAAGTCCCATTGTTCACCCGTAGCCGCGAGCGTATTTGGCACGCCACCGGGGTAGCTGTCCAATTTCAAATCTTCAATGTATTTTAGCACAGATGCCGAGATTCTCTCTGTGTCGGATTTATTAAATGCGCCCGTCCAGAGTGGTAACAAATTGGTGGGTATAAAGTAATTACGTGGTTTCTGATTGATCATATCGTAGTCCAGCCAAACACCGGCTTCCTCATTCCAGTGTACAGCTTGGATAGCCTTGAAAAAGTAAAATGTGTAAGAAAATAAGTTGGGTTTGTATTGGAGTAAGGCTTATTTCGATTTTCTAGTCCGCAACTAAATATATATTTAATATTTATTACAGTAATAAGTTATAAACATGTATAGGAGAATTCGTATTTGAGCAGACAGTAGTAAAATAAGTACATATAGATCTATGGTTCGAAGCAATAACTTCTACTTGAGGTAGAGACTGCTTCCAGAAGCATTACAAGGACTTTTTTATAGTGTTTTTTCCCTAACTGGCCATTTGTCAGACCTCTTGACCCACAAAAGCCATTTGACATAAGCCCCAAAGATCCTTTAACGTCTTTACCTATGTATTTCTTCGCAGTGGATGATATTGCAAGAGCCGCATCCCCACCACATCGGATCAGGATTTTGAATTATATCATGTATTTTATTATCGCATTCTGGATATTATTCCTGCATAACCATTACGGATAATTTTCTGTTCGATGTTTGCCAAGCACTCTACATGTTAGTTCTACATCATACTTCAATATATACTAACCTCTAATATCTTTGCAGCCTTCAATTCATATTCATCGGATTTGGCTTTGTTTCCCGTTTTGTCATGAAATTCTGCAATTATTTTCGCATTCATATACAGTAACGCATTGAGATCGACGGGTACAATTGAGCGTGTCTTTATTTCGGCAAGATCACCTTCATTTGTGCCGTTTTCATTGACGAACCAACGTGAACTGAAGTCCATACCCGATTCGGCGCCGGCTTTTAATTCGGTATAGTGCTGTTCCTTATCCTCGTCGGTGCGGAAAGCTTCCGCTGTTAGAACATCTTCACGATAAGATTCCGGTCGTGGACCGGTGGAGCTATCTGTATAGATGGCAACATCATAACCCTTCGCCTGTACGGTGTGATTATTCATCCAATATTCAAATTCATGTTCCAACGTATCCAAAGCTTCCAAAGCAAAACTGTAATCTTTTTTAAAGTCAACGTAGGCCTTGACCATAGAAGTCAAAAATGGTGGCTGTGAACGTCCCGTGTAGTAAACACGACCACCGTTCGGTATGTAACCGAATCTCTGTACAATGGATAAAAAGTTTTCGATCATGCCACGTGCCGTTTCGTACATCTCCGAATACAATAGACCGCGAATAATCCAATAAGAATCCCAATAGTAAAATTCGATGAAACGACCACCCGGCACTATAACTGGATTATCAACAGGTATTATCGAATAGTATTCTGGATTCTTGTGCACGTCTTCAATCATTTTGCGGCCCAACTCCTTCCAAATACCATTCAAATCGGAGCCCCATTGTTTGAGGTCTGGATCGTTGATGGCGTTTAAGAATTCAGGATTTTCCTTCCAGTCATTCGGTATCCAAGGCTCGAATTCTTTACCGCGCTCTTCGAAATGTGTCTAAAAGAAGTAAGCAAAGTGTGTGGGATAAATTGTAGAGTAGCTAAATGCTATTGTTAAAGAGACTTGAATCGTGAAATCTATATATGTAGGTACATATGTATATATTGTATATCTCAACTTACATCAACGAAATCCCGTAGTTCCGCCTCGGATGGTGTATTATTGTACTTAAGCATGAACGCGTTGAACTCTTCCATAGTTTGTTCTGGCCGATTTATCAGCTTCATGTCGACAAACGTTTTTGAGTCCTTGTAAAGGTGGGCCATTTGTACCGCGTGGAGCAGCGGTCCATGGCAATAGATTTGGCTAACGAAAAACAAAAACGAATGCATTAACCATTTTAACCAAAAACAAATGTTCAACCAAATGTGTGTGAAGACCCGCCAAAAAGAAGCCATCATGCAGCTAGGCTCAGCACAGACGACGGTTGCATAAATATCTTCGAATCTTAGATGTCACCCGTATAAAAATACAGTTTAAGTGTTCCTTTTTTCTAAATCTGAGTGATATTTTCAATTTATGACTAAAATTATATAGTTTCGTAAAACATTTGATTGATCTCAAAGCGCGTGAAACCGTAAAGTATTTGAAGACCTTCCAATGACAACAGATGTAAAGAAATGGAAGCAGGCATGCGTTCCAATATGAAAACAACCCCAAGAAAATAATGCAGAAGCTTCAAAGAAGACCTGCAATAGTCTAAGATACAGATGGTGTAGGTTTTTGGATGGGAAATCGTGCATTGAAATAAAAGAACGTTTGTATACGAAATATTTGTTCGATGACACTACTCAATTGGTAGAACGAGTTACAGCAGATCGCATGTCGTTTTTTGGTGAGCACCAAAAACATTTACCATGGAGGATAACGTAAGAAAAGTTCATGATCTTCTTTTAGAGACTGAAGGTGCTTGAGATAACTGAGACAGAAGGTATGTTAAGAGGCGAGTTGGGTCATATTCTACATGAAATATTCGGCATGAGAAGGCAAAATACACTATGGGTGCTGCGTTTCCTCACTTCGAACAACAAGCGCTCCGTGAAAGTACTTCAACAACAACAACAAAAAACACTGTTACTTGCTATTTAAGGGCAATCCCAAAAAGTTTTTGCTTTACTTCTTGACCGTCGAAGAATTACAGGTTAGTTGAAAAGTTTCTGCACTCGAAATAAAAAAAAAATACTGTTTTTGTGACGACATATATTTTTTATTCAACATAATCTTCCTTAACTTTAATACACTTATTCCAATGATCCTCCAATAATTTTATGCCAACCCTATAATGACTTTCCGGAAGCTCTGCAAAATACCCGCCTACGGCTGTAATAGCTTCTTCATTCGACGAAAAACGCTTTCCATGAAGGAATTGTTTCAGGTTTCTGAAAAGGTAGTTGTCGCTGGGAGCCAAATCTGGTGAATTGCTCAAGCAATTCGTACTTTAAATAGTTGAGCTTAGTGAGCAGGTACTTTGTCTTGATGAAAAATTATATTTTTGTGCTGCAAACCAGGTCCTTTCTCACGAATTTTTTCAGCCAGCTGATCCAAAAAGCTGCAATAATATTTCGAGTTGATGGTTTTACGTTTCTGCAGATAATCAATAAACAAAATTCCTCTTGAATCCCAAAAAATTGATGCCATAACCTTCTTTGCTGATGGTTGTGACCTCACCTGCTTTGGAGCTGAATAACCAGCTTCAGTCCACTGTAAACGTTCTTGTTTCAATTTAGGATTAGGGTGGTAGATCAACATCTCATCCATAGTTATAAAACGACGCAAGAAATCGGTTTTATTCGGGTTAAAATGCTTCAAATTGTGCTGTCAAATTTGTTTTCGGTCCAGTTTTTGTTAAATTGTTAACGTGTGCGGCACTAACTTTTAAAATAGCTTTTTCATATGTAATTCTCCATGTAAAATATGAAGTACTCGTTCGTCTGAGCTGCCTATGGCATTAGCAATTTCACGCTTAGTCAAACTTGGACATTCACTAACAATATTATTAGCTTGCTCAATGATTTCTGGTGTGGTTGCGGTTTTTGGTCGTCCTTCACGTGGATCCGCTTCAAGCCTAGTACGACCACGTTTAAATTCACCAGCCCAAAATTCAACGGTGTGTTTTAAAGGTAAAGACTTCTTATACACTTCTAACAATTGTTCATAAATTTCCTTTGCTTTTAAACCGTTCATAACAAAGTATCTAATCACTGCGTGATATTCAATTTTCTTTTCATACTAAAAAATACTCTGACACGTCAACTTCAAATGGCTTGTAAACAAAGAATTAATTGACAGAATGACTTGTAACTTTGCATATGTTCTCACGACAGATGGTCGAATGAAGAGATTATCGCCGCATTTGCAGACCTTTTTTTTTTGAGACGAAATAATACAGTTGGCACAAGTGTATCGAACTAAAAGGACATTTTTCCAATATTTTCGTTTTATTTCTGATGTGGGTTTTATGAGTCTTTCGCTAAGCCTATCGTTTTTTATAGTCCCACTGAAAGGATGAACAATACACGCCGTCATCTGTTGTGACAAATTCTAAGCCATACATTGCAGGCTTTGGCGTTTTTCATGTGCTCTATTCGCTCCATTATGCTCCTACATATCAATGTTAGAAGTGGCATCAACTATTTCAATATCTATGGCAATAAACTTAGCAAGTTTCATTGATGATTTTCATTTTAATAAATTGTTACGGTATAATTTTGCGTTAAAATCAGTATTTTATTATTCAACAGGAAAATCGATTTAAATTGCAGCTAAATAACTTGTGTTTGTATTTATATGCAAGCAGTTATTTAAAAAGAGTCATTAACTAAAGTCAACTAAAAATCTATTTTTATGATGTTTTTCCCGAGCACACCCACACATTTTATATATTATATAGCTATACTTGTAGATATATTACACATTTTTATTGCAAAAGTAAATTACACTTTCATTCAATTTAATGCTTGCGCATTTAGAGCTGACAGCGCTAATTTCACTGCAGATTACAAGTATTGCAAATTTTCAACTTTGAAGTTTCACCTTGAAATGATCAACCCGAGTCACATGTACTGTATAATTTGATGCTTAAATGCGCAACAAGAAGAAGCTTTCTGAAACAAATTAATAAATTTATGACCGCAAAAAGACACGTACTGTTTTCCAAATTATGCCAGGAATTGCTGGTATTTTGCACATCTGAGATTATCCGCACGAAATACCATACCTTTTATGTACGTATGTATGTGTTTCAAAAACTTGATTTTATGAAATAAAATATTTGTGGGTTAATGGTTTCTGTAGATTTGGCAGTATCAACAGAATTCTAGTTGATAAAATAAATTATTGCAGATCAAAGAAATAAATAAATTAGTCTGGTAATACTTTTTAAACCTTCTTACATGGTTAGCATAAAAAATTTCACTTTTGTGTAAGGATTTTTGTTGGCTCCTTTATCTAAACAAGGTTTGAGGTTAAGAACATTACTGTTTTCATTTCCACAAAAAAACAATTAAAACTGCTAATTTATAAATCTTACTTTGTTTTTCAAAATATTCTCCATACGGAGCAGTTCATGAGTTTGAACCAATTTTCGAAGCAGTTTTCAAAAAATGACTGACACCGTCTCGAAAAATGCATTTCGAATGCATCAAATGCTTTTACTGCCATAAAAAATCGTTGCATACGTATCTACCTCCTTCATGAAAGTGGAAAGTAAAAGTGGGTCACTGAGTATCAAATCAGGATTATACCACGAATGGATACTGAGTGTCAAATCAGGACTATACCACGGATGGCTCATTGACATATTGGTGAGTAAAAAAATTATTCTTACAGCGCTGTTATGTAAAAAATCGCCTGAGAGAGTTTTCTTTCTTTCATTAATTTTCTACAAACTAGTCATTGTATATAGTTCAGATTTATATCGTCCGTCGTTATGACGTCACTTTAGCTAAAAGCTGTTACTTTGAAGTGAGTAGGCAATTTCATAATATTATCTTATAAATATAATTTACACTTAAAAATAATCATCTTGCTTTTGTTTATATGCAAATAGAGAGTTTTGCTAACTTTAGTAGGGTGAATGAGCTTCACTTGAAGTTTCGAAGAAGTAAAGTTGACGAATTTTAATTTTGCATGGATTTAAGTGTACAAAAATTACGAAGCTTCTTCTAATAACGACTTGAATACTTATTATAGAACAGGCTCGATAATTTTTAAAACAAAAAAAAAAAAGAATGACAGGATGATATACCTACATTGGAAAGGAAGAGAATATAACAAAAATGACGCGAAAATTAAGTTACATCCAATCTGAGTTAGGGCAGTGGAAGGAAGGTGAATAAAAAAAAAAAAAAAAAGAATAAATGACAAAGTTGTAGGTAATAAAAATAGCTAGATCTTCAAAACCGCAATGCAGTTCAAATTTATGAAAATTGAAAATAGTTTAGTTAGTTAGAGTTTTCATTTATTCTGAAACTTTTTATTGATATTCCGTCGGCAATACATATGTAACTATTTTGGATTTCTATGATTTTAGCCATAAAGGCTTAGCTTATGACAGCGTCCCATTTACTTTTATTGCTTTTTTCTTAAGTTTGCTATTTTTTCACTTACCAAGAGACCGGCTCGCCGTCATTGTAGAGTCGTTTCTGTATCGCATTGGCAGGGATCGTATGCCCAAAGCTCGCGCGTAAACATAGATTTAGAATGACAAGCGCGCCGATGGGAATATAACGCGTGCTCACAACTCTTTTTAACACAATCATTTTGTCCTCTTTAATTTAATTTAATAATACTTTTAATATATATACTTAAGTATGTAAGTAACGTTTAGCTTGTTGTTTTTGGTTGAACGTGGTTCATTTAAGTGTAGACGAAAATAATACTTTTGGTTTAATTACTTATGTTATTTTATTTTTAAGATTTTGTTTTTTCTTTTTTTATTGTATATTAAATTCGACTCGAATCGGTTTCGATTTCGATTTCGATTTCGATTTTGTTTTGATCTATGCTTTACTCTTTTTTCTGGAAAATACTGCTAAGGAAATGATAATTTTAATAATTTTACACATTTAAAAGAAAATTTTTTTTTCATCATTTTTATTTATTTTTTGTACGGAAACGAATGCGACTACGCTTTCTTAAATCACTTTTAAGCAATTGTGAAGTATATTTCCTTTTTTCTGCACAGATTTTATAATTTCTACACAAAATTTAAACTTTCGTTTATTTTTTTATTTCAATTACGCGTATATATTTCTCTCCTCACACACATACATATGTATTTATTAAGTATTTTCGCACGTCTTACTGATGTAAAGACAATTTAATAATTGGTATGCCAGCTGGCGGACGCGGATATTATGCTCAGCTTACTCGTTACTCGTACGTGTATGTAACGATATAGTTTTTACAGCAAGTTGTAGACTTCCGCTAACAACGCCGCAAATGACGGAAGTGAGGGCTAACTTATGAATGACCCATTCTAAAGCGTTTCTGAACTATTTATTTGTGGATCAAGGCAGCAAACGTACTCGTGAATATCTATATAATATATAGTACTTGTGGTACAGGAGGATACATATACGAAATATAACGTGTATTGGTATTGGTTTGCGAAAATTGGAGACCACATTTTAGTGGGAATGAAAGTTAAGGTTACCGCTACCCTATAAGGCACGGCATAAAAGCTGATTAGATTACTCGTATATTGTCTTTCGTATATATTTAAATGTGTTTCTTAATGAGTTCTTGAAGTATTTTGCCTTGTAACATTTCAATTAGGGCTTTTCGGGTTTCTTTTTATTTAAATATTTCTTTATTACAACAAGTTTTAATTACTTTTTGTATTTGAAATTTTTACATTGTTTTAAAAAAGTTCAGGAATAATTTTTAAATATTTAGTTGGCAGTAATTTTTAAATAATAATTTAGCTAGAAGTAATTTAACTTTTTTAAGTAGTTTTTAAATATTTTATTAACATTATTTTAAGATATTTTTTTTATAAGAATGATATATTTATAAGTATAATGTTTAATGATTTTAAAAAGTAATATTTAAATATGTCGTTAGAAGTAATATTTGAATATTTTGTTAAAAGCATATTTGTAAATGTTTTGTTAAAAGCAAATTTTAAATATTTAATTATAAATTTTTTAAATATTTTGTTAGAAGTAATATTCCTTCGGTTTTGAAAAAACCCGTGATACATAAAAGAAAAAAAATTTCGCTGTTCCTGTGATGCTGAACCGTCCCTAAAACAATTTTGCTTTTTTTATGGAAAAAGCTTAAGTAAAATTTAAAGACTCTGGATTAGTTAAATAATAAACATTAAACTTAATCAAATATCTTATTATGACCAAAGAAATTACTTTCAATAATATGGAAAACTATTTTTCTTGTAGCTAGTATAAAAGTTGTTGGTAGTAAAACAGTTTACTTATAAAAGTTAGAATTGCCGGGACCCCTGATATTCGCCGCTGCTCTTCTATGTGCTTGCCCTTGGTTGTGAAAGCTATTTTGAGCATTTTATATTAAGATAATTTTTTTTATTTAAATGTAACAATAAATTGAAGGTATACTAGACTTTTTGGAAATTTTGTTGTAAAAAAAATTTTGAAAATTTTTTAACAAAAAAAGAAAAAAATGTTTGAAAAATTGCTTGAAAGATTACTAAATTGTAAAACTGCAATGTACAATTTCCTGCAGGGTACTTTCATTCTCGTCTAAAATCATATGAAAGTCAGTTTTCAACAAGAATTTGCCACACTTATATAAAAATTACATATACTATGTGTGTATATGTGTTTATGAGCTTATTAATGTTTGGCAAGCTGTGTGGTGGGCTCAGTATACTTTTCTATTTTTAAACTGATCACTAGTGAATTTAATCGGTAGTTGTGAAAGTACCGTTATTCGTACGTACATAAATTTGGACTTATATACGTTTGTATGTATGTACGTATGGGTGTATGTGCGAATTTATTTCTGTTGTGACTTGTGGCGTTACATTTAATTTGAGCTCGCCTCAGGAAGTAATTGTGGCGACTATTTTCGTTTAACGACTGCTACTATGATATATTCAACAATTTTTATTGACGTCCACACATACTCGTACATATGAAGAAGAAATGCTTACGTACGTAGGTGTCGGATTCTAGTTTTTTATATTTGTGCAATGGTTATGCAATTTGTCGGGATCATGACACAGCTTTTGGGTGCAATTTATCATATCATCTCAAATTTCAGTGAACGGTAAATTTTGATACTACTTAAAGTATTATAAGTCTGTAACCGATAAGGCAAGAAACATAAAACATAAAGGGGAGGATGTTATTTCAGGTTTCAATGCGAATCAAGGCAATAATTGGAGAAGAGGTGTGGATCTCATATCTTAAAAATCACTTGCTGAAAACATTTTAGTCTGTTTACAATTCACCGACGCTCGTTTGGCTGAATAAATACTTGCGTTAATGGATTCGGCATAATTGTAATATAATATTTTTTAAATTTACGATTTTTTGTGCAAGTCATCGTTGAATGCTTTTTTTAATGTCACGCAAAGCATTCTCGCATGCTAAATTGTTTCTGTGGTCTATTCGTTTTTTATATTTTTTATATAATATATGATTCTTCATCAAGATGTTTGTAACACCCAGAAGGAAACCCCGGAGATCCTATAAAGCATATACTATGTATATTAATGATCAAGGCGACGACGCCCGTTCGTCCCTCTGTATATACGCGAACTAGTCTCTCAGTTTTTGATATAATATATTGCTCTGAAAATTTGTACACGCTCTTTCTTCCCCAAGAACCTGCTCAATTGTCTGTATCGCCGATAGCAAACCACTAACCATAGCTGCAATACAAACTGATGGATCAAAATCAAGATAAATTATGATATTTTATGCCACAAGAAATGCACCTGAAATGGGTATTATAGCTTTGGTGCAGTGGAATTACAATTTTTTACTGTTTCTATTTTTTAATCTTAAAAAATTTACTTGCCTCAAATTGTTAAAAAGCAGGACGAAAACTTTTATTCAGCAGTGTAATTTTATGATATATAATGTAGTTTTTAATTAAGTTAAATTACGTATTTTATTTATTTATAATATGTAACTATGTTATCTTTAGCACTAAGGGTGGCATTTGGCAGACCGGGTGATGGGCGGCTGGCGGACTGTAACTAGGCTGGTTAAAGCCGCTGATAACAGCGGTGCTACACGTGTATAAGCCTATGGGGAAAATTGCATTGTCTGTGATTTCAAAGCACTTGACATACTATTTAAGTCGCAGTTTCGGCTTCAAATGCTAATTATTTTCTGAGCGTTTTATCTAGGTTTTTAATTCAACTTTTGTTTTGAAGACTTTTTTCTTTTTTGTATTTTCTCAGTTTATAATTGTTTTGTGTAACCTAGCTGCAAACCTCGCAAAATTCGTTCACCCCATTGGTTTTCATGCGAAAACGTCTAAAAATGTTTTAAGTTCGTATTTGTACTTACAGTTGGGCGTCCTCGGTGGCACTGTAAATGCAATTTCGGGGAGAAAAAAAAAGAAAAATCAATTCATAAATTAAATATAAAAACTTGAGTGATTAATAATTGAACAGTCACGAATTGTGATATCGTACGCATGTGCATTTTATACATACATTCTTAATTCTCTCTTAAAATATCATTTGTACAAGTCAAACGTAATTGTTGGAAGCCTCTTACGTCATTGATTGTTGTCGCAAATTGTCTCATTAATCATACATATTAACATATATGTTTATGTATCTTATTGCATATCACACATACATACATACATATATGTTTAGGACATATTTATACTTGTATACACCTGTTTACTTTTCACGTTTTAGATTCTAGTATACGCAGCGTCAGTCTATATGCGCATTTAAGCACTTTCAACTAATTTAACGACGTAAAAAGCAAATATTTGTAAAATTGGAGATCGCATTGATTGAGATAATTGCATTAAATAAATTAATCTAATTAAATTTGCTTTCCTTTTTTAGCGAAAAAAACATCGTAAACGATATGCATGTGTGTACCTTGTATGTGTATTTTATTTTTGGAGAGAGCATATTACAGGGACGGGTATTTAAACATTTTTCGTGTTTTTTTTTAATTTTTTAATCATTTTTAAATCGATATCTCAAAGAGTTTTTGAGCTACAGCTTTCTATAGTTTAGCCGCTCAGTTCAAACTGCTCCATCAGTTGATCTTTTTTTTTAATTCTTAAAAATCGTCTTTTTTAGGCTGGCTCAATAGGTGTGTTCCTTAATTTGATCATTGTTCTCATCATCAAGGCCATATCCGTTTTAAAAGTGTCTGTAAGAATTATGACGGCTCTAATTAGGGTCTGTCTCAGTTTGCTTGCACCATAAAATGAGTTTTAGTTTATTCCTACTTAAAAGCCTCTGATATATATCTTTGTAGATCGTTGTAGGGAATATCCCAAATATAGGTGGCTGATAGATAAATAAATAAAAAGTATATTGAAGGTTAATTTCATTTTGAAGTGGGTTTGATAGATAGTGGCACGGATTAATTTGCGGTCAGAATCATTGAAACGAATCTATTAAGTTTTCACTTGTCAACGTTGAGTAACTTCTCTTACAAAATTGATTCGGTAAGTGTTGTAAACTTATGAGCTTATTTACCTAGGAGAGCTGAGAATTTGCATGCTTAAAGAACATAATACTTTTAAACACTTTAGTCTACTTCAAAAAAGCAGATTCGTCTGTCTGTCCGTCTGTACATACGCAAACTATTTCCTCAGTTTTTGATATATTGATCTGAAATTTTGCACACGTCCATTTCAGCCTCAGAAATTGATCACTTGACGGAATTGCCGATATCGGTCCACTGTAGCATATAACAGCCAAGCAAACTGACCAGTCAAAATCAAGTTCTTGTAAGGTAATATTTTTTATTTTAAAATATATATAAATATATATTTCATGAAATTTGGCATTTATTATAGTATAAGGCGACGCTACAATCTTCGATCAAAATCAAGTTACAGATATTTTTATACCCATTGATGCTATAAGAAATGAACCTGTGAAGTGTATTACTTACATAGCGTTTTCCTTTATTTTTCATCGTTTCCCAATTTTTCATAGTGTTAAACCACTTAAAGTAACTGCAATTTTTAGCTAGGGTTTCTCTACAGGGTGTCTTGCAGAGTACTTGCGTATACTGAAGATGCTTGTACTTGTATGACACGTGTGGCGAGCTTATTGCAAATATGAACGTAAGTAAGTAAATACAAGTATATGCGGAAATTAAAATGAATAACTTTTCCGTTGCGTTTGTTTGTATTATTATCACAATTTTTATTTATAAAATGTATGCCTAATAAAAGAATTGATTGAGATTTTTCTTTCAGATTTCAAGCAAATAATCAAGAAAAGCAGATCAATCTAAAGGGAAGGCAAGAGAAAGCATATTAAATAATAGGTTAGCGTACATATGGCATATGTTTAGCCCAACAAGTTTCAACGAGATTTGCATTTTAATGTTATTATTAATATTATTTTCGTCAGATTTTTTATTTTTAATCAATGGAAATTTATAACTCTAAAAAAGCGCTAGCTAGTACAGAGTTTACGATCAGAAAAAAGAATGTAGGAGTACTGATAATTGAAATGCACTGGAAAATAATAATAATAAGTCACCTAATAAAATTAATATTTTCTTTGAGAATTCGCAACAACAGTATTAGCAGCAGTATTATCATTAGTAGTTGATATAACCCTGCAATCTCTAATAAATTTTCTGTTATAAAAATGCTTAAATTTCTAAATTCTTTCATTTACTAATAAACATGGCAAAGAAGAGAAACTTTTAATTGCCGTTATAAATAAACATATTCATACATATGTTACATGCTAACTGTTTTTTGACAGATTTGCTGATAACTTTTTATGACATTCATTAATGGGGTTATATATTGTTAAATTTTTACGTATTCAAAAGCTTCCAATAAGTCAAAGGAGTAGAAGAATAGCGAAAATGAGAAATCTTATCTTATCAGCAATATTAAAGATTTACATACATACATATATATGTACATATATATGATACAACTCATAAACATTTTTGAAGTCATAGTTCAATATGTTCTTAATTATTCCTTTAATATTATCAAACAAGTGGTTTGTTATCATAAATTAATAACAATGTGCGAATTATATTTAGAGTACTAAGATAATCTTATATAAAGATAAAGCGATAAGAAAATTATAATTGTATGGGGCACATATTGAATGTCTCTTTTGTTTTTGTGGACCCCACACAAGAGTAACTTAACTAAATTGACACTTAACTAAATTGTTAATTGCCCCTTAGCGTTAAATTATTTCTGAAACATTGCTGTTTAGCCATGGCGGTAAGATAAAGCTCGTTTACTTTGCCTGAGGAAACTTGTACGTGAATATAACAGCTCGAAATCGCTGCTTAAAACTTTCTGTGAGAATTTTAAGGCAAAGGTAACAACTACTATATTGCTATCTTCGAGTATTACAGTATCTGACAGTGTAACAATGTGAAACATGCAGACTTAAAAAGACACTTTACAAACCAAGAAAAGGAGCGAAATTAAATATGATTTAAAATTATTAAAATCAAAGCTTTCGTAGATTCTAAGGAGTTATACATTTCCACTTGTGAATTTCCAAAAAATTTTGCATATAGTATGTATATCGAATGTGCATATGTATATATAACAAAATATTCTATGAGAATTGGAGGTTGATCCGACCATCTCGGAGATATGAGCGTATTTGTAAGCATTTTTTTAACTAAATGTAATAGCTACCAAACCTTTGAATACGTTTTTCTCGAAACGCTGTTTACAGGTGCGCTGAAGAAACTTTCTTCGAAACGGCTATAGCGATCGACTTGCAAATTTCATACGATGCTTTTAAGATATATTTTCCAGGTGATGATCGAAGGAAAAATATTTTTGGATTCCGCCATTTTGTCAAAAATCAAAATTTGGACAAGTCCTTCGATTACTTGTATCCATGAATTGTTATAATAAATTTTTTTGGTTTTAGGATTTGAGATAATTTTAAGCAGAGAACATTTTGGTTTTTTTCGAAATGTATCACCGATTATTATAGTACATTCAATTCTGTAAATCTTTATTAGTTCAAATTATTTCTTAAATAAAACATCTCTTAAAAAAAATAAAAAATATTACAAAAAAAACAGCTATTTTGTGTATATAAATAAAAACAAATGAAATTAAAATTAAATTACATAATAAATATTTGATGTGCAATCGAAAGACCGTGCATCCAGATATTTGAAATCAAGTAAACATTGCTGACGTTTAAAAGTGTGCCGAAAAGTGTATTAACAACATAGCACACTTTTAATTGCTTTTGCTATTATTTAATGTCAGAGCAAGTCATTTAACAGATACTGATAGCATATCTCGTGCGAGTTTATATAATAAAATAAATCCTAACGAGTATATTAGAAAGGTGGCACACATACCCTCATTTTGTATAGTCATAATATTATATGACTATTTGGTCTAATTAACGAGAATGACAGTCCCATTAACTGTTTTTACGATTTTAAAAGTGGTGAAAAGTGTTTAGCACGTACAAATATTCTAAGTAGTTGTTGTATGTGAGTATGTGTGTATAGAAAAAAGTTGTTGTTTAACATAATTACAGATTGTTAAATAAAATACTTAAGGGAAATTAATTTAAGATTATCAAATATGATAGACGTGAAGTATTATATATAGAGCCGATAGCTTTGAATGCGTCACTAAAGTACAGTGGGTAGTGAGTTAAAATTTTTTGTCGATTTTGTAAAAATATAAGTTGTAGAAAAAATTATATGTAGAAGGCAATGCCATATTCGCAAAGTGTTGACCTAAAAGTTAACTTTTTAGTTAATTTTTTTTAAACTAATCAATATTTCTAAGTAAGTAAATATTAAAAGAGATTAAAGTAAGGATATGACAAGCCTCAAATGACTTACAAGCTCTGGTAGCTATTTTCTAGTCGTTATTGAGAAACCAATAGCCGTCTTCGATTCGCCATTACTCGCAATAATTGAGCTTGTTGAAAAATGTACACTTAGAAGCAACAAGAAAAGCTACTTAACTATAATACAAGTATATAAATTGCTTTGAGGGCGTGTGGATATCTCATTCGTCGCCACACCTAAGATTTTGCGAGGACAGCTTTTATATTCTTCCAAGGGTAGAACACAGATAATACAGAATTTATAATGACTATTGGTAAGTAAATTTATTTAGAAAGTTGCATACTTGTAAATTACAAAAACAGTACAAACATGTTTCGGAATTCGTGTATGATTTTTTTTTTTAATTTACATACAAGCAGATTAAGAAGTGT